AAAGTATTATTAATGAACTAATTATAATAAACAAACAAAATGCAACAGCTATTAAAATGAATTCTATATCGAAAGACATTTTAGTTGAATAATCAATCAATCAATCAATATGATCAATATGATCAATAACGATAAATTGTGACGTCAGTTGATAAAATCAAATTCAAATGAAACAAAACAAAACGAATGATTTGAATATATTGATTGTAATCCAAAGAAAAAAAAATGGGATTTTAAAATATTTTTTGTATGGATGTTCTGAATTGTTTTTTTTTGTTTTGAACATTTTAAAATTCCAATTACGAAATTACGAAATTTTGAAATTTCGAAATATCTGATTGATTGAAAACATTCAATCAAATTTTGGTTTTCCTGGTTCCTAGTTACACCAATAACAACAACAACAACAACAACAACAACAAGAGAATCTGAATGATGTCAAAGCAATGGATATGGTTTCAATCAAAACAACAACAACAACAAAATCTATTATCATCATCGAAACAATGAATCAATACAACATCGATTGACAACATTGACATTGACATCGACAAAAAACATCCTTACAATCAATTTAAACAAATGACAAAACAAATTCATTGAAAAACCGAAACAAAAAACGAAAAACAATCGTTTCTTGGTTTTGAAATTTACCAAATGTTGAGATTGCAAGTTTGGTTGGTTGGTTGGTTAGTTAATCATCATCATCATCATTGTTCGGTTTTAAAGGGAAATTATTATTATTTTTTTTGGTAAGGTAAAACAGGTATGCAAATGATGAAATCATAATGCAACATGCGCAAATTGAAAATTGATTTTGAAAATTTCGCTTTTTTTGGGGTTAATTTCAAAAAAAACTTACCGTTTTGTTTTTGTAGGTGATCGTTTTAGCTAGATTTTTTTTTACGAAGAAAAAATTGTCAAAAATCAATCAATCGATGATTGATTGATTGATTGATCGATGAGTAGTTGATTGATGAAAATATGACAAGAATTTTTTTCGTTTTTTTTCTATAAACAAACCGAAAAACGTTCACTAAAAATAGACAGAATCGTTCTGCATGCACACACAGGGAGAATATTCTCAAAGTCAGTCAATCAATCAATCGAAAATTTGAAAAATAAACATCAATGTTGTTGATGAAACAAGCCGAAATCAGAAATGAAACGAAGAATATTCTTTCTTCTTTTAGAATATTCTTTTTTTTCGAAAAGAATTCCGGAAAAAAATCAAAACAACAACAAAATTGAAGAATTTGATGAAAACAACAACAACAACAACAATAAATTAATGATGTTTTCATTCAGTGTTGATGTTTTTTGTAAAAAAAATCAATTAAAATTTTCACCAAAAAAAACAACAACAAAAACAACCAGAAGAAAACAAACAACAAACAACAACAAAATCAATGAATCAATGATTTGATTTTGATTCAGTTTTTTTTTATTTCGGTTGTTTTTTTATTCGTTCAAAAAACAAAACAAAACAAATGAAATTCCTTCAAACAAAACAACAACAACAACATTGGATGCTTTTCATCATCATGAACATTCACAATAATAAAAAAAGCAACAAGATTCATGTGTTTTTTCTCTCTCATTCTACCATTCTCTGCCTGTGTTTTTCTTTTGCATTGACTTTCACATTTCACATCACATTATAATTGCTGTTGCTGCTTTAGGCAAACAAAATTTTGATGTTGTTGTTGTCGATATATGAATGTTTGTTTTCATCATCATCATCATCATCATACACATTTCAATCATCCTCATTTAATCACTATCACCACCATCATCATCATCATCATTGCGGATGCTTTTGGTTGGTTTCGTTCGGCATTCATCATTTGAAAAAAACAAGAAGAAAAAAAAGAAGAAAAAGGCTAAATGGCCCTGTTGATAATGTCGATGTTGAAGGCGCAATGAATTTTTCCATTCATTTCATTTTGATTTCAACGTCATCTTTTTCTTTTCATTTCATTTCGTTCGTTCAGCAGCAGCAGAAAAAAATTACCAAAAATGAATGTTCGTAGTCTCTCTCTCTCTCTTCGCTTTTTCTCAATGGCGATGTATGTAATTGCCATGTTAAAATGCTGATGTTGATGATGAATTTAATGAAGTTTTTTTTTATTTAAAAAAAAGATTGGATTTTTTATATATTTCACTTTCACTCTGTACTTTTTTTATTAGTTAATGAAAAATTCTTCTTGTTCGCTTCTCTCTCTCTTTATTCGTTTTTTTGGCTTGTCGTTCACATTGGTTGTTTAGGTAGCAGCATTGATGTTCCATCCTCGAACGACAACGACAATTTCTTGATAATAACGATGATGATGAGGATGATTAATATATATTTTGGCTTGTTTGAGAATCAAAAAAAAAAAAAAATAAAAAAAGAGAGCGAAAATTGGCATTGGTAAAACAATCTAACTGACTAATCAAATGTAACAGAATGTTTATTCAGATCTTTGTCGAATGATAATGATGATGATGAATAATTACAAAAAGAGAGAGAGAGAGAGAGAGAGAGAGAGAGAGAGAGAGAGAGGAGAGAGA